GAAAGCCAAACGCAAGTGCACGATTCTCATAAGTTTGCTCAGACAGGTCATGAAGAGCGTGGAGAATTTTAGGAATCGACATCTCCACCCCGTACCTACTCTGGATGTGAGCAGACAGTACGAGTTCGTCAAAAGCGGATTGAAGAACAGCCCAAACAGAATCGCTTGTGTCTCCTCCCACTTTCATGACAGCCGCAGCTTGTTCTACGATCCTTTTGCATATGTCATGTTCGCGAGCATCCAAAGTTCTTGCTAGGGCTTTTCCAGACCCAGGGACTTGGCGCCTTCGGATTTCAGCCTCATATGAGATGTAATTGACGCCTGTCGAATCCCGGGTTCCTAACGTCATGACAATTACGTCTCGCTTACGCGACTTCCAAACAGCTCGCGGCAATTTTGCCCCAACGCCAGTCCATGCCGTAAGCTCAACATGCGGGAGGAGGCGCTCAACCGCGCAAGAAGCATGCGCCAAAAACGACGCACCTGCAGCACCTAGAAGAGCTCTGTGTTTACTGTTCTTTTTAAGCTTTAACAAACTGCCCACGCCAATGAACGAATTGGACACTTAAAGGCCAACTTGAGTCCTAGATCGAAGCCACAGTTGATACCGGTCTCGCCGTTAGGCCCTTCATATGAAGTCATCCCGCTTGGTTACGCTCCGGTGCCGCTTCGAACAGCGAGCAGATCAAAGCAGCATCGGGATCGGTCGCCACATAAGCACATCTACTGTTGGTCATATCGGCATCAGTGCGCGCTTGATTAACAAGTGCCTGAACCGCCTCTTGGCGCGTCTCGTCCAAATCCAAATACGGGATGAGAGCGGCAGGCACCGTTTCGCTCGGGAAGCGGACAACCGTACATTTTCGATTTAGATGCCGCACCAATTTCTTTGCCATATGATCAAAGGCAAACTGTTGTGCATCAATAGACAGCGAGGCCGCTCCACTTCCAAACTTCCATTGGCCTAAACCGCGATTAACATCCTTTCTTGCTATCTGCTCGCCGGCTGGAGTCGGACAAGTTCCCAAGCAGAAAATCTGAATTTCTTGATCGGGCTTAGCGACGTCGAGCGCATCCACCAAACCCACCAGCACTGGATTGTTGGCCCATAGGCCACCATCAACGAACATGTTGAAACCACCGCTCCCACTTTGGCCGGGAGCAAGGGTCGTTGTGTGCTTCGATACAGTTTTCGTGGCATGAGTGATAGCGGCCAGAGAGCGATAAACTGGCGCTGCAGATGTAGCTAGGCATACGTCTACCAAACTATAGTTGTCATCACGGTGATTGGTCCCCGGCAAGTGCGGGGTCTTGAAGATCCAAGAGCGATGCTGGCTCATTTCTACGGCGGGAATGGCAAGCGCGATGCCGCGCTCAGCGTACAGTTCGCCAATGGTTTTCTTACCTAGCTGGGCTTCTAGCGCTTTTCGTAACGCTTCCGTGCCTGCCGCCAAAGCTGCGGGTCTTCTACAAAGATCAAGCGCGACACTCAGAAATCCAGATGGCATAGCACGAGGGAAAATCGCGGGACCGTGCTTGCTGTAAAGGCTCACAACGTTGTCGAGCGGCACTCCCGCTGCCAACGCACAACCAATAATTCCACCCGTGCTAGTACCAACGATTAGGTCAAATGCCCTCCCAATATCTAGTGAGGCGACATTACGGCGACGAGCAAATGCCAATGCGACGCGTTCAAGATAGGTCGCGGTGTACGTTCCGCGCATTCCTCCGCCATCGAGACTCAG